TTGGCTTGACTTTGACGACACGATTCCGCCTTTTCCTTGTCTCATCGTCATCTTCGTCGGCGTACGGCACAGCACAAACTCACAAACATCGCGCACCAGATGAACCTACCGCGCATATCATGACAAAAGTCCCCCCTTTCAAAAGTTTTTTTTTTCTTTTAAAAAAAAACTGTCCAAAGTGCGCGGGAGACAAGACTTACGACAAACAAATGTACAGAACTGTTGCACCAAGAGAATAGTCTGTATGGGAGAGTCCCTAGGCATATGGTACATTATTACATTAATGTTGTATAGCTAGCACCTACACCTGTAGCCTGCTCATATAATCAGCACCTACGTTCTCTGATCCTTTGATATGCTCAACGCGAAAGGTGTACTCTTGCAATGCGAGACTCCAGCGCAAGATCCGGCTGTTCAAATGCTTGGCTTGAGAGAGGTATCGTAGCGCTTGAGCATGTTTATGTGAAACATTTTCGTGGTGTGCCCAAGGTCCAACCAATAGTCGTGGTCATTCTTTTTTCCTGTAACCGGAAATGGCCCCTTCCAGTGCATAAGAAGCTTGTTTTCCCTGGTTGGGAGCAATATAAGAGCCCGGTCACCAACTTTGAGCTGTCGGGTTCTGGAGGTTCGGTCATAATACTTCTTTGCGAGTGTTGAGCTCGGGAGAGATTCTCTTGAGCCAGCTTCAAGGTGCGTTCAAGACGTTCTCTCAGATCAAGCACGTATCCGTAAGTAGTCTTGATATCTTCCTCTAGGTCTTCCCCTGTCCAGAGTTCCTTCAATATATCCAGGGGTCCTCGGACGTGCCGGCCGTAGATCAGTTCAAACGGCGAGAAGCCCATACTGGCCTGAGGTACTTCTCGATAGGCGAATAACAGAGGCGCAAGAAATCGGTCCCATGACTTCGGCTTCTCTTGGCACAACTTGCGCAACATCTGTTTCAAAGTGCCGTTGAACCTTTCGACCAAGCCATTGCATATCGGGTGGTAAGGCGTCGAGCTCAAATGTCGAATAGCAAGCAGAGCATTCACCTCTTCCATCAGGCCTGACGTGAAGCAGGATGCTTGATCACAGAGGATCTCCCGTGGAAATCCTATTCGAGAGAACATCTCCAGTAGTCCATCTGCTACTGTTGCCGAATCAATTGCGGGCAAAGCCACCGCGTCCGGGTACCGAGTGGCGAAATCCACAAGGGTAAGAATATACCGATTACCCTTCTTTGAAATCGGCGTCAGAGGTCCAATGATATCAACGGCCACACGTTCGAATGGCGTGTCAATCAAAGGCATTCGTCCAAGAGGCGCCTTGCCTACTTTGCCTTTGGGATATGTCCTTTGGCATGCGTCGCATGATTTTACGAATCTTCGTACCTCCTCCTGTACACCGGGCCAATAAAACGACTCCAAAACTCGGTCCTTCGTCTTCTTGATACCCTGGTGACCAGATATCGGTGATTCATGTGCCAAGTGCAACACATGGACACGCAACGCCTTTGGAACCACCGCTTGTTGAACTGATTTACCCGGAGTCAAGTGGTAAACGCGATACAAGATTCATTTCTCGAACATAAATGAGTGGTATGTGGCTCCTTTACCGCGGATGAGGGTGTCGACTTTCGCCCTACAAACATCCAGCGACCGGTCTTCCTCTTGTTTTTGGCGAAATGACTCCTGTGTCACCTCTAAGTTTCCATATTTAGCAGTCGTGAGCTTCCGGCGATGTCCTTTGCTTGAAACACCAACCATGACTGTGCTATTCGTCCCGCATCCATCCTTGGATTTCTCTTCAGAATTCAATGCCTGATTAGTTTCCGACTTCAGGCTCGCTGACTCCTTCCACGTTGAGTCGGGGTCATTAGCGTCACGGGCGCCGGGAACATTTCCTACGATGACATCGTAAAGTGGCGACGTCATGCATTTGACTATCGCATTTCCGGTGAAATAGGGCGATAGAATCCGTACTTCTGCTTCCGGTACCTTGATGCAACTACCATCGGCCAATAAAATAGTGGCGGTAGTACCCGTCAGCGCATCATCGGGAACGAGGGAACGTCGCACGACCAGGGTGTTGCTTCCAGTATCCCTCAATACTGATACAGTATGTCCAAACACTTCTCCCTGTAACACCGGCAAGTTTCGTGTAGCCGTTGCGGTGCGCGTTCGGAGTGCACTAGCAACATATTCATCTTGTGATGAATCATCGGCACATCGGGGCGTCTCGGACTTCTGGTCAGTAGACACGATGCAAGATGTCATTTTCTTTGACCCGCCGTTGCTTGGGCATGCTCTTGCATCGTGGCCGGGCTTCCGACAGTGCCCACAGAAGACTCGTTGGGGTTTCGTGCGGCAATCAGATGCTCTGTGGCCGGGTCGATCACAGACGAAACACCTAAGAGGAGGCTGGGTATAAGTAAATCCTTCTTGCTCCTTGGGAATGTTGTTTGCAGACTTGGTACGAAATACCAACAAGTTTGTTTGCCGCTGGGCTTCCAAGAAGGTATCAGCTGCTTCTGCCATTTCTTTTACCGTCCTGCATTTCTTCTCCCTTAGAAAAAGTGCCAGGCGATCGTGGCAGTTATTCAGAAACTGCTCAGCTACAATGAGGTTGCGCACGGATGCAAAGTCCTCGTCCGTTTCCGACATTTCCAGCCATCTATCGAAGTAACTCTGTAATCTCGTGGCGTACTGTTTACCAGTTTCGCCGTCTTCAGGCTTGCTTTGCCGAAACTTTTCGCGATAGCCTTCGGCTGTGAAACGAAACCTCTGGAGCAAGGCCATTTTCGTACTCTGGTAATCCATTGAGTCTTCTGGCGACAGACGACCGAAGACTTTCAATGCTTCCCCACTGAGGCATAAACTAAGCGCTGTCGCCCACTTCTCCTCAGGCCACTCTTGACCAACTGCTACGCGTTCGAACCTCTTGAGATACGCATCGAGATCGTCACGCCCCTCGTCAAACACTGGAATCAGGTTGTGAGGATTGATCAAGCACGGGCGGCTTTGACTCCTCTCAGGTTCGCGGTCCCGCGCTGTTGGCTCTCGGCTACCTTCAACCTCAGCTAGTCGAATTCGCAGTTGAAGAATTCTCTCTTCTATCTCCAAACGTTCCTTCGCCGCCTGCCTTTCCGCGGAACGCTCTTCACGCGCTTGCACAGATTCCTCATGAGCCCGCTCTAACCGCGCGTCTACCCACGTCTTTAGCTCGGCTCCTTGAAGCCCCATGCGTTCCGCTAGCGTTATAAGCTCTTGCTCACTCATCTTCCCTACAGATTTCAACCCAGTGCAAACGGCTTCGTCCTGCCGCGCGGACGCCAATTGTGAGGGATAAGGTTCGAGTAATCACGGCAACTTAAATAATCGTTGTCGAGACTGACGAAGACATTTGCAACTTGAGTTATAAGGCTTTAATGCCACAAAAAAAGAAAAAAAACGATAATGAAGCTTGGCGTGTTACATGGCAACAGCGAAGAACTGCCTTAGGTACGAGCACGACACACGTTCTCGAAAGACAAGGTCTGACGCTTAGCGTAGTCCCCCACTGCACTACACAAGGTTTGAAACACTTCACCGTGTGACGTCGAAGGCAGATGAGTCGATGCGTTGCGTTGCGTCTTACGCCGACATCAGCGATGACTCAGGCATGGTCGGAGCGGAGCGTGAGGCAGAGTCGATGTGTGGCAAGCACGTCCCGGACAGCCAGTAGTAGGCCCAGGTCTGGAAAACGCCCGGATCCGAGTACAACGGACCGGCGCCGGCTGCTGGATCACACGGTAGAAGGGAGCCAGGCTCGTGCGGAACACAGGCACAGGTAGGCTTCGGGACCACGACCCGACGAGCGCTTCAGCCTGCCATTGTTTCGTTCGGATCCTTCTTCTCGAACGCCCCGTCGTCGTCTTCCTCTTCTCTCTCCCCATGGCTTGGCTTGACTTTGACGACACGATTCCGCCTTTTCCTTGTCTCATCGTCATCTTCGTCGGCGTACGGCACAGCACAACCTCACAAACATCGCGCACCAGATGAACCTACCGCGCATATCATGACACTATCTGAACCAGATAGAAGGAGCCCTTCAACCAGCTGCCTCTGTCGGAGAAGAGATAGGGCGCTAGAGTAGTCTGGAGCATCCCCCCCCCCCCCCGAACACCGAAATTCTTGTGTATATAAAGGATTATTCTGACCCTACCTTCCTCAACGTTAAACTGAATGGAATTTAAATAAAGAGGTTAAAGTCATCCAAATTTCTGGAGCCCCCTTCAATATTCAAGGCAAGAGCTTATTTGCAATACATAAGCTAAGAACGTCCTGTCTACAGATTTTTCGTGTGATTAGGCGTGTTACTAATAGATGACGAGTGATGAAATGACATAATTCACTCATTCAGGCCTTTGTTATTACTTGTCGCATAACCTATGACTTGCTTTACCTGAAGATCTTCTGACTAGAGGAGCACAAAATAAGCATAGTGATACCTATGATTCTTAAGAAGGCCTTGAACCATTTTTCGTGGACACTCACGGATCGTCTACTTCAAATGGGGTTCCACCATACCGCATCTGAACTAGTTAAGGCAAACCAGACGAATGAAGTGTCAACATGGAATGATACAGTATGGACTCGAAGTGCCAGTAGCCATAACTTGGCATTTAATAAATCGGTGAATTTATCTCCAGCCCTCCCCTTGGGAATCAACTGATGCTATTTGTGAGGGTTTCTTTTGGGTATCTTTAGCAACCCAGGTTTTTTTCATATATCCCGTCGAAAATGCATATAAACCTAAACACTTGCGCTGCAATATGATCACACTGTGTGTCTTGCAGTTTTTTGTGATTCGCATGTGTAAACATTTGGGGTAAATATCGTGTGGGCAATGCTTACAAATCTCCTTGCAATAACGGACACTGCCAGGGCACTGCGAATAAGGAGTGGTGTTCTCATAAGTTCTTTGTTTCCATTCGTACACATAACACCAACGTGAGTTTTTTCATCCTTTCATTGCAGTATTATGACACAAACGAGACATCGTGGACTTACAACACAACAAAGCGCACAATTCATCTCTGTGTCGGGGACACAACCTATAATATAACGGACAACAATGTTACATATATTAGGCATTCCAAACAAGGTGACAGGTACGGGTCGTCATCTATCGCGCTGCTCTTTTTTTCACCAGCTAACCTAATTAACCGTTTTCATTAGTGAAGTTAACGCAACGCTCACGGGGAAATTTTTTCATAAGTGGAAGCGCCAAAACGAACACAGAAGCCACATGGGAGACCAATACAACGCTATGGATGTATATGAAGGTGAGTAAGAAAACTTTCTGACTTCTCTTTTGCCTATTAGTAATACTGATTCAACATCTCGCGTGTCACATTAACATTATGCAGAAAAATATATTAATGATGAACCATTAGCGCAACGCTATTCAGCCAACTCCTAAATAGTCCAGAGCAATCGCTTGAACACGTTTTGCATTTGGTTGCATGCAGAAACGCTCGTAGCCACGCACCCATAATAAACCTGCTTTATTTTGCTCTGCTACCCTGTGACTTTTAAGTAATGCTTTGGTAGGGTGGCAACAACCGATATGGCCAAAAGCAAGGCCTTCAAGATGAATAGAAGTTTCGAGTCATTTCCGCTAGAGAAACAGGGCTTGCGTCGTGAAATTGTGAGATAAGCTGGATTACAATAGCACAATTTCGTTCGGCCGCCACACTTTCAATGCTGACTCTGGCACTACTCGCGTATGCTATATTTAGGAAGTGGCAGAAGTACTATACTTCGCAGCATAATTTACCCCACAGTGCTATATAATCTATGTCAGCTCAATGAACACACAGATTATATAAAACGTGAAGCTCGCAGGGTCTTTTATATTAAAGGAATTCACGCAATTAAGAAAGCGAGAATGTTGCACTATAGTCCTGCACAAAGCAGAAATAGCTAACCGAGGTAAGCTTTTGTTTTACTTGACGTTTCATGAGTGTTCCTCAAATCATTTTAGATTAGAAAGGGTGGATGCTACTTCACTACTTTAGTGGTCTGTGAACGTATATATTGTGAAACATCGAACACCACTTAATAGGCTAGATGACGTTTTTGTATTGCATGAAAATGTGGCACCTCCCCATTTAACTTTGCCTCTTCTGCCTTAACAAATTATAAGCTAAAAAAGTTTCCAAAAAAGATGCCAGAGAGCCTTTCAAAATGGGCACCTATTAGGGACACGTCCACCGAATGGACATGCCCATTTCTGCGGAGTGCATTCAGTTCCTCAAGAAACTGGTGAATTTTGACATCATCGCACTCTTTAACGCGTGGACGCAAAGGACCAGCTCAACATAATCTCAACGCAAGTTGAAAGTGCACGAAAAGTACACTAGCTAGGCAAACCAAACTTGTAAATTTGTCTTTAAACGTATCTTAGATGCTCTAGAATGATGCGGCGAACGCTAGCTGACCTTATAAAAGCGTTAGGCCGGCAGCCGTATTTCCCTTAATACTAGGGCTAACGTGGTCATAGAATCAGAGTGAATCGTTGCTCTCAGAGATATGGGCTGCCAAAAGTAAATCGATGACGACTGCGTTCGTTGCGTTCAAACTCAATGTGTCCCTCTCATCTGTATAGGCAGTTCTCAAAGCTCAGTGCAGTCAAAATGTCTTTACGCAAGATGTACCGAAAGCAGAGAACACGCAGCTTGTGAAATTCTAGCCAAGCATTGGCAGACAAAATAGACAGACCACCGGTTAGACACGTATAAGATAGCTTCCTATGAGTCTTCTAGCTTCCAACAGTAAAGAGACACGAAGCTGTCTTTCATTCGGGAATTTTCTAGCTGTTCGCAAGATTGACTTCTCATAAATACGTATACTTTTTTGCAAAATTTTATTAGAGCATGTGGGTATGGGGTAAACTTCTGGCGTGGGAGCGACTCGGCGATCGTGGAGTGTAGGACCGGAGGATGACAAAGAGTGCAACGTATAAAAGTGACGTCATCGGGAAAGACGGGAGAAATTGCAGCATTGCTTTGCGCTTTTACATGACGCAAAGGAAAGCGTAAGCACAATGTGCTTCACAAAAATTTGCTTACCACCACACCGTTCTTTTACTCAACTCGAAGTTCTCACAATACTGAACTTCTCCAGAAGCCTTTCTGCGGCATCTGTAACAGCCCATGTGCCTGACAATCTTCTCAGTACTGCGTGGCATTGGCTAGAATAGCACGTATGGCTGTGATGAAGGAGCATATCTCATATTTTCTCACGATTAAAACATCTCCTAATAGGGTCAGTGCAACTAAAAGCAAAATCTTTGAACTTGTTATAGTAAATCGGCTATGCTCGAAGTATGTTTTAAGTACAGACTAACTATAAATGCCACGTAAATGCAGTTACTGAGCTGTTAAGTCTGCATGACTGAACCGCGACGTATTTACTTCTGTATTTTCGCCGAAAAAAAAGATTACTGCTCCATTATGACTTGCCTTCACCAAAAAAATAAAAAGAAAACTGATGCAACGCCTGCGATTAGCCTAAGACAGTTTCTCCGGGGCCCGCAGCAGGGCAAATTTAAGTGCCGCATCGCTTTCGAGAAAGGTTTTCGATGCGTTCACACATAACGATAAACATTTAATAAAGTTTTGTCCAGCATTTCAATCGCAATACGCACGTGTCTCTACTCTGCTAGTGTACGTAGTTTGCTTGTGTCACAGGAGCGCCTTTAAAGGATCAGTGTCATCAACTTGACGCATGTCGTGTTTTTTTTTTAGTCAACGCGTAGTTGTCCATCCTCTATTAACGAGTCAGCACTAATATTGCAACAAATGAACAAAATAATGCATTTAATATTGATTAGTATAACCACTATCGAAACTAATTCGAAAAGGGTGCAAATACCATCATTATTTCGCTCTGACAGTGCTACCATGTGGTAACCCCCTGCGGTCCCGCCCCATCTGACAACGCAGCCACAAGAAATGGTGAAACAATTTTCTGTTGACATTTCGCCTGCTCCGCGCGCGCATGTGTATAGGCATGTCTTCGCCACCCTAATTGTCGTCGCCGCCGTCACCAGCGTACACAAGTGACGATGAAAACACTTAGTAATATGTAATCGGGACAATTCGGAACGCGACGAATAATTTTCGCTTCCATCCTCTTCTGATCAGTGATTCTGAAATCTATGCCGTACCGAGCAACGACGACGCAGGGGGAGGCGCACGCTTAGGCCACGCTAGCTGTTGAGACATATGAACGCTGCGTGCGTGTTACGTGTTCGCCAGGACCGTAGCTTCAAATAAACACACATGCCCTCACGGCTCGATGACAAATGACCCGAAGCGGCGCAAGGGAAACGCAGGATTCACACATACGTGCTGCACGAAGCAAGCGAACCGAAGCAAGTCAAGCCGTTGCTAGGCCACCAGGCTTCACCGCCAGACCGTACCACACAGAGTAACTGTATATGGGACTATATACAGTTACTCCAGTACCACATACATGCACCACGATGACAAAACTGAAATTGTCAACGTCATCTATGTGCGCTCATCGTCACTTGATACTTGACACGTGACCACAATCTCCTCGCATGACCTAGGAGCTTGCTGAACAGGTCACAATACTGTCCATGTCTCATCACCAGAAACGCACCCACGAGCCTTGGAAGCCCTTTGTACACGTATAGAATAACTGCCACGTAACGTACGCGTTCCATACTTCGCTGAAAAAACTCACGCATACAGTGAACGCCACATCTCGAGTTTGCACTGTGGCGTCACTCCTCCTTTAATACATGCTCTCGAGTCACGGGGCGCCTTAAAGGGGCCCTGAAACACTTTTTTGAGCAACCATATAAATCATTCTCGTGAAAAGCGTATTATCTCACAAATAGAATGCCTCAAAAATGTTAAGAATCCATTCAGTACGAGCGGAGTTGCAAATTTTTTTTGCCACGCTGCAATCACATTCTCTCTTCTCTCATCCCGACAAAAGCGCTGCAGAAGTGGATCAGGGAAGGATGCGAGGGGCAAACAAAAAACGTCACTCGCGCCTCGTGACCTTGAGCTTTTTCTTCTTCTTTTTTCTTCGAATACGCGGCTTTCTCAGTGTGATCGCGTGCGCACGCGTGGACAAGTGACGGCTTCTCACGGCAACCTCAGTAACAACCAAGCGCGCCATGTTCGAATCAGCCAATGACTGATAGATGGGCTTACTGGGCTTATTTGTCGAGAGAAAAGAAATGTATTTTTAGCTGACTTTGATAATTTAGTGTGAATTCGATGCCGCGTGTGGCGCTATAATATTTGGCTGGCGTGTTGTCGTGATAATCTACTACCAATCGGCAGCGTTTTCTGACAATGCTCAAAAAGTGTCGCAGGGCCCCTTTAGGTTCCCTCACTCTATTTCTTCTGAAGAAGCGTCAGGCACATTTTTTTTTCTTAAATTAAAATTAATGCTGCTTTAGAGCAGTACAGTAAATGTTAAAATAAAGCTTCAAGAAGAGAAAGAAAACCACCGAGGAAAGTTGCTAGGAACGCACAATTCAAGCTATAATCATCTCAGTCTCGGGCACTCCACGGTGCGTAAGCTTGCTGCGCCACCAAATTCGAACACTGGGGCAGATTCTGAAGCTCAAGTCAACATTTGTACCCTTGTTATCTTTACGTCTAGATAAACAAAACGCTTTGACTCTTCGAAACTCTGAAACTTTATCTTCAACATTAGGGATGCTGAAGACCATGATAAAAAAGCCTTAATTAGCTTGATTTGGACCACAAGCCCTTACAAAGGCGTGGCATAGGCACATTTGTATCACAATGAAAATGTACAAACTGAGTTAACAATCTTAGTGGTAGTTTTCACAATTCTAGTTAAACATGACGGCACTTTCAAATAATATATAACGGTGAGCGTCCTAGACACTTTCTTCCAAGAAATGCTTGTTTTGAACGGCTATTGAAAGCGGTACGGGTCTTTCGGATTGTGTTCTGCCGCATAGGCCGTCTCGATATATGATTTAGCCGTCCGCAGTATTGTGCTCTCGATCACACCACAATCTCGATTGACATTAACCTTTTAAACATCGGGTTGTTGTACCAGTGTACCACCAACCTTTCTCGACCATGATAGGAAATACTGATGAGAACTGACCTTCACCGACAGAGAAAGTTACCATGCGATAGCGATATCACGCGGGTAATTTAATTACAAATACTGCCCAAATCCGATCATATTATTTAGTCTACAGTGATAGAATCATTTGGGGCTCGTTATAGCACTTTTATGTAATGTATGTAGTCGGAACATTGAATCGCCCTGAGATATTAGTAAGGATCCGCAAATAAGGAATCACGAATTTCATTTTCATTATTTGTCTACTTTTGCTACGATTTGTTTCAATGCAAGCCCCACCAACATTTTTTTTTCACTGTCATATTGGTTGGAATATTTCATTTTATGTCTAGTATCGGTAATTATATTTCTTACTTTGTCTCTCTGGGTATCATTAGAGCAATTTCTTCTATTTCTTTATTCAAAATATGAGTTAAAGGCAATGCTTTATTAAAGGCAGTTTCTCTTTTACCCTTTCTTAGTGTTTCTTTTTCACCCTTCATTCAGGGTGAAAGAAAAACAATTCTTATGAAAAACATGCAAGCATCTGTCATTTGTTAATGGGAATTACGAGGCTAAGTTTTTATTTCTATTCATCATCATGGTCATCAGCCTGACTACGCCCCCGGCCAGACAAATGACTCTTTCATGTTCCACCAGTCAACATGGTCCTGTGCTTGCTGCTTCCACTTGATACCCGCGAAATCGCTAATTTCATCTACCCACCTAACTCTCTGTCTCCCCTTTACCCGCTTGCCTTCTCTTGCGATACAGTCTTTGAAGACCAGCGGTTATCTTGCCTTCGCGATACGTGCCCTGCCCATGATCATTACTTTTGTTCATTTCGACTATGACGTCCTTAACACCCGTTTGTTCCTTGATACACTCCGCTCTCTCTTGTCCTTTAGGAATACAGCTATCATTTTCTTTTCAGTTGCTCACTGCGTCGTCCTCAGCTTAAGTTGAACCCTCTTTGTATTCAACATACTGGTTTCTGCTCCGTATGTAAGTACGGGTAAAATGCAGCTGTTATATACCTTCCCCCTCAGTGATAGTGGCAATCTATCATTCATGATTTCCGAATGGCTGGTGATTGGGCTCCACCTCATTATTATTCCCCTAGTTACTTTATTTTTTTCTTTCTAATACTACATTTTGTTGCCTTTGATTTGTCATAGAGCTTATGAGCGAATAACAGAAAAAAGCATCAGCGGTATTTTGACAATAGGAGCTTCAGTGTAAGAGCATTGTAACGACGCACCATATTTCCACCATTAGAGTTGTGTCCTCTTTCACGGTGCACTCGAGAGATGCCACAAATCAAACGCACTTTGCCATTTGGTGGCGCTATCACGTCGTCATCGCCTTGACCATGTTCAAATATACAGTGGCTAGTTATAACTTACGGGGTTCTGTTCAATCAATCAGTCGTAGAATTTTACTGAAAATATAATTGAAACCAGTTTCGGTGGTTTCTTGGTTTCTTCTTCATATGCACAGTAGAATATTGTTTCTTTTATTTTTATTATCAAGGAACATAATACATACCAGCTTACGCTAATGTAGTAACAAAAACATGGTCATGGATTTTAACATTCGCAAATAATTTCACTCCGGCTATCCCACTTTTACAGATGGAGAATACTGGTGGACTGAGAGACTTGAATATATGAGCTCAGACAGAAAGTGTGGAGTGTTCACTGTCGTGGTTCCTCTGGGCAGTAAGTAGGCATTTCTTTATTGCCACTTGCAACATAACTTACAACTGAAGCCCCGGTGGGTGTCGTACCATAGGCTCTATGCCAATTGTAGATCTTGTTACTCATTATTCGTAGCATAGTAGAGCTATCAAAAATTGATAAATTTAATTCATTTCACAAACCTGAACAAGACTGACATTTTCCACAGTGTAATATTTACAATCGTATTGCCTCCTTTTTTCCCAAAAAACAACCACCGCACTACTAGTCTTATAGTAGGCAGTTTCTTAAAAACCTGCCGAACAGCCGCCCAGCAGTTCGGCACTTCGACACACCAGTACATTATCGCATGTGAGTATTTGAGCACCGAAGCATCCTTGGAGCATTCTATTTTGAATATGAATGAGGATATTCAGTGAACAAATTGAGCTGACACGCAGGAATAAACACATAAAAAGAACTTTTTCACATCCACCAATTGAACCCCGCCGTACAGCTCTGAGTATGAATACTCTTACAAATGACATTTAGTACTCATATGTACACTTCGCCGATAAAGACAAGCAAATGACCCTTCGAAATACTGCGTTCTCAAAGTAGACTCCTTAAAATGAGTTAATTATTTTGTAGCAGGCTTTGCCGAAGTCTCCGCCACTTTCTGATTCGTTCGTGTTGCAAACAGCCAGAATCTTTAGCCCCTGAGGTGCATAATATGTTGAGAGGTGTGCCTCAATACACTCCACCCAACAGCTACAAAAATCAAAGGTCGCCTTTGAATCTGTCCCGTATAGTAGGTACTCAAGGACAGCCTGTCATATTTAAGGCACTCATTTAAGAATTCATTACCGTTCTGACCTCATAATTTTCATGTTCAGTTGCTGCTCACATAGGATCTATAATCAAGTGAAGTGTAATAACGGAGTTGATTGACCTTCAGCTGGTGAAGGACCCATCGTAAAGCGTTCATACCCCATTCACGCAAAGAAATCGCGGATATATCTTCGGTAACTCTCTCTGCTTCTTTTACATTGTACTACTTAGAAAGCCTCCTGTTCACCCTCTCGATTTAACAGGCTAGTAGCTTTTTGCTGTGCCTTTTTGTCTCTATACACTTTTTTCATTTCAATGGCAAGCGTATGTAAACTCGGGGTGGATTTTGGCTGTCACCGGTCACCTTCATGCTCCATAAAAATTGAAATTGATGACATTGCTGATAGAAACGTAAGATTTGCGTACCAGTAAAAGCATTCGAGCCCTTAGGAGAAGCATATCTCGTGCAGAGACGAAACGAGCCGGTTATTTCCTTCGCTATAGGGACATATGCCATAAAATCGACCTGCGTGAATAACCGCCATTCACGGCTGGTCAAGCAGAGAGGTAACAAGCCCTTCTTCCACAGACCATGACTTGGCGCTTATAGGTGGCGAAGGGGGCTGCTTCCCTCCAGCACAAACTGTGAATTTTGAACCTAAGGGTGCAGCAGCGCGCGCTATTTTGAAAGCATGAGTAGATGTCTCACCCACGCACTGTGCTCTTCCCAATTACTTCGTGTTGAGACAACAGGCGGCATGAAAAGCGCATTTCCACAGAAAATGGAAAGCTGCATTTTCTTAAGCCAGCATTTTGAAATTCAAGACAATGAATTAGGTCAATGACTGAGATAATCGAACACAAAAGAGCTCATTAGAAGTGAAATCTGAAAAAAAAACTCAGTGCTTAAGATGAACAACTTGAAAAAAAAAATGAATGAAACTTAATGATTGCGTGTTACTGGTGAAAATGTTAAATGAAAGGCTTTGATTGTAGTTTTGACACGATGTATTTATGCGGCGTCAATGTCTTAGGAGCTGCAGGAATCAATGTGTCAGCCATTCATGTACTATACTGTCGTAACAAAGGAGTACTCCTATATGATCCATACGCTGCGCTCATTCTCTTGTTCGCCCACACTATTTTTTTCGTTATGGAGCACGCACCTTTACATGAATTTGTCTTCATGCTCCATAAAAATTGAAATTGATGACATTGCTGATAGAAACGTATGATTTGCGTGCCAGTAAAAGTGTTCGAGCCCTTAGGAGAAGCTTATCTCATGCAGAGACGAAACGAGCTGGTTATGTCCTTCGCTATAGTGACATATGCCATAAAATCGACCCGCGTGAATAACCGCCATTCACGTCTTACTGTTTTCATACAAGTGCAACTTACCACATAATTATTGCGTAAACGGCACTACTGCTTCTTTCAATGAACTGGCGCTTAGGGTGCGTGCTGGGGTCAAGTTTTGTTCCCCCCGTGTCCCTATTTGTGTGCCCCGTTTCCTGTACGACAATTTACTAATACCAACTAGCGCAAATAGCTGTATTGCCGTTGTAACAAAGGCAGTGGACGCGGAGCTCAAGGCGAGAAAGAGAAAGACGTCAGTTTGCGATTGCTGGTCTGAGTCGGGTTAGCCCTTGCCAGCGCTAAGTAAATCACTATTTCCCTCCAGTCAATTCTTATCTGTAAAACCCCGCGTGTCACCATAACTATTTACCGACGTATATAATAAATATATATATATATATATATATATATATATATATATATATATATATATATATATATATATATATATATAATATATATATATATATATATATATATATATATATATATATATATATATATATATATATATATATATATATATATATATATATATATATATATATATATATATATATATATATATATACGCGCGAGCTCGAAAAAGAAGAAATTGATGTCCAGAGAGCATTGCAGTGTGTGGCACTGCGTAGAAGCTCGGTAGAAAGATGGCAAGGTATTGTTCTTTTACGTTTTGACGGGTGTAGACGACCTGCGACAGAGAAGGGCGCAAATCTGAAACGCGCGCATTAGAAAGGAGGTGACGGACACTACGTTTGTTTGTTCTAATAAATTCGCTCGTAACTACTTCATCCCCTTTGAAGAGTACACCAGTATTTAGCGCGTATGCATTCTCTATACTATTATGGCTTCTCTAATGCCTAGTTCACACTGAAACATCCGCTTTCTACAGCGACCGAAATTCCCCTCCTGCCACCGAAACACAGCGTCGTTCGCACTGGACACGCCCCGCCGAATATGCCATCTACTACGGGGCGAACGCGGGATGGATGCGCTGTCACCCGGTTGTTGTCGCGGCTCGCAAACGCTACTACGCTATGCGGTGGTGTATACTTCGACGATTCTCGTACGCAAGAAGCAAGAAAAGACAGTACTGCTTACTTTGCTGGCAAGTGGCTGTCTTGTAATGCACGAAGAGCAGAAAGACCACCGACGCCAGCGGCGTTGGTGGGTTCGTTTTGCTTTTCAAGAGCGCAACAAGCTCGGTCACGCCAATAGCAAGCTCGGTCACCTCTTTCACGAAATACGGAGGCGAAGTAGGCAAAGAGTAGGTTAAACTCCCGTTGGTTTCAACATTCAGTTACGTGCACTGCAGCATAACAAGTGAGTAGGGCTTGGCCGCCATTTTTCAAAATTCCTTCACTAGCGCTCCTATTGGTCCGTGGTGACCGATTCGGCGGCATACGCCGCAAAAATCGGTCCGTGAGTGATCGGCGCGGAGAGGGCCCTTTGGCCCTTTAGGCGGATCTCGCCACCTCCGAACCGGATTGGGAGCACTTTCGGCGGCCGGAATGCTCAGTGTGAACGCGGCCTAAGCGCGGAGCATAGTTTCGTTTATATAATGAAGCGCTTTAGAAAATTGTTCAGTTATATATATATATATATATATATATATATATATATATATATATATATATATATATATATATATATATATATATATAATATATATATATATATATATATATATATATATATATATATATATATATATATAACTTTGCCGAAGGGGAATGAAACGGATCACGCCACACAGGAGCTAACGAAGGTCACCATCGAACACTGTAGAAAGACTCTAAACGCACAGACAGACTAGGAGTGGTATTTAAGAAATAACTTTTCTCTTTCGGAGTGGGAAACTAAAGAAGTAGACGTATTTGAGCACAAAAAAACGGAGGAAATTGAAAAACTTAAGAGGAAGAAATTTGCACGGGACAATGTGTCACAAGCTATACCCACTGCTGCTTACAGAAAAAATACCAAATCATCTCACGTTCAAAAAAATTTGCCACCACACCCCAAAGAGCCAAACGTTATTAACCTTTCCGACAAAAAACTTAGCAAAGAAGAATTGAGTATACTATCACGCGGACTTAATTCTGCCCTGGCAACGGAAGGTATGATGAATTCACGCTCCTAAAAGACCTAGACAACTTCGCACGAAGTTTACGATTGGCGGAATATTTCTTTGATAAACCCGAAAAAGATAACGCACTTTTTCGTGGGGTAATCGGACGGCAATGGACCCCAGACGCCAACAGAGATCGACATCTGGATCTCTATATAGACGCGGTTCAAAAAGATGTTATACATGCGTACAAAGTGCACAAACCAAGCATGAATAACATATCAAAAAGAGAAAAAGAGGCACTACTCACGTTGAGCAACTGCGAAGATCTCGTCATCAAACCAGCAGACAAAGGAGGCGCGATTGTTGTTCTGAATAGATCGGACTACATCGAGGAAGGCAAGCGACAACTAAATAACAAATAATTCTACAAACACCTCGACTTTGACCCTACCACGGAGCACAAAAAAATCATTGTAACAACCCTAGAGAATCTCACACGTGAAGGCGCCATTAATTCAAAGCTTAAAAAGGCACTTATTATGGTACATTCGGCGCCTGGTCGTTTTTACATGCTGCCGAAGATTCATAAAGAGAATAACACTGGCAGACCCATTATATCAGGCACGGGAACCTTAACGGAACCCATTTCCAGTTATATTGATTCTTTAATCAAAGACATACCACCCACACATGAGTCCTTCTTGCGTGACACAAACCCCTTCCTTCGGGAAATAGCAGACGTGAAAATTCCAGACGGTGCATTTCTCGTAACATTGGATGT